GGCTTAATCTAATTTTAAAGTAGTTTAAGCTGGGTGTGGTGGTACACACCTGTAATCCTAGTGGCTCAGGAAGCTGAGGCAGGAGGATCCTGAGTTCAAAGCCAGCCTCAGCAACAGTGAGGTGCTAAGCAACTCAAGGAGACCCTGTCTCTAAATAAAATACACAATAGGGTTGGGGATGTGGCTCAGTGGTTGAGTGCACCTGATTTCAATCCCTGGTACCCTCCAAAAAATAAAGTAGTTTAGACTTTATTTTTGGTCCTAGGAATTGAATCCCTAAGTTGCTTAGGACTTCACTAAGTTGCTGAGACTGGCTTTGAACATGTAATCTTCTTGCCTCAGCCTCCCGAGTCACTGGGATTATAGGTTTATGTCACCACACCTGGCTTTGAATTCTTTCTGAAAATAAGAGGATTGACCCTTTAGTGAATTCCTAAAGATAAGAATGGATGTAGTGGTGCATGCCGGTAATCCCAGCTCCTTAGGAGGCTGGGGCAGGAGGATAACAAGTTTGAGGCCAGTCTCAGCAATTTAACAAGACTTTCAAAATAACAAAGGGTTGAAGATGTAGCTCAGTGGTACAGCACTTACCCAGTATGTGCAAAGCCCTGAGTTCAATTCCCATTCAACACTACAAAGAAAGAAAACAAAACAAGAATCCCCCCGCCAAAAGACAAAATACCAGGAAGTCTATTAAAGTTGTCTAGACTTACTCATACATTTTTGACAGAGTCTAACATCCCTTTTAGATCAAGTCATTGTTAGGTATGGGAAGCTTGGACCTTCATAAGGGAAGCAGTACCAGGGAGTCATGTTTCTGATATGAAGGAACAACTGGCCTAATCTGATTTAATTTTACTCCAGAAGAACTTCGCTTTTGAGGCCATGGCTGAAGCTCTGAGTCCTGCACAGTATGGGAGCATTAGTAGTGATAGTGTGCCTGGAACTTCCATGTCTCAGATGGAAACCACTCTAATATAGGTTACTGTGTTGAACAATCCCCTTCGGAGAGTCAGGCATACTGAGTTGTACTTCTTCCCATTTCTCTTCTAGCTCCAGGCATGGTGGCGAGGCACTGTGGTAAGGAGGGAAATTGGAAGTTTCAAAATGCCTAAAGACAAAGATGATAGCAAGGATGCAAAAGGTAAAGGTAAAGGTAAAGGTAAAGGTAAACACAAGGACAAACGAAGAGGCAAGAAGTGAATAAGCCACCTTTTATCCTTTCCTGTGATGTTCTGGAGATGAGAAGGAAGACTTGGCCATCACAAATACTTCACTTCAGGTTGTTTATGCAGACATAAACAACAGTTTATGCAGATCGCCAGATGATTTCACTTTGTATTAGTTTTCAATCCGTGAATTAGCTATTGAATTTGTGTTTCTTCATATTTTGATTTTGATGTGAAGAACAGTTTTGAGTAGACTTGTAAAGATCTTGGTCTTCTCACCAGAAAAGAGTTCTTGGGCTTGGTTACAGTGATGCATTAAAACTTCAGTAATTCCTGTAATGTCTCAGATTCTGATTTTTTCTAATTTGTCTAAAGTGAAAAAAACGCATATGAGCAAAAGTGAAGTATTTGCAGAAATTACAAGGTGATGTTTTATAAAGTTATGTAGCATAACATACACATGGTAAAATATAATGAGTGTTGATTCCTCTCTTTAGATTTTTTATTATCACTTTAGTGTTTTCATGGCTGGTGGTGGCATGGAATATACACCTTATGATAAACTGTTCCCACAGCTTTTCTGGGAATAAGTAGGGATATAAGTTATAAATACAAGATTGAAGTGGAATGTTAGAATACATAGCCCACAAATGGTAAACATGAGGAATAGGTTTTCTGGAAGACTAATTTGCAGTATGTAAAAACCCAGCCTATGCCTGACACATAGTAAAAATGTCATTCTCCCTCTTAAAAAACAGTAAGACAGGGCTGGGGACATGGCTCAGTTGGTAGGGTGCTTGCCTTGCATAAACAAGGCCCTGGGTTCAATCTCCAGCACCACAAAACAAACAAACAATGAGACCATGAGGTCATTCTTGCCTTGATTAATTAAAACAAAATATTGGGTACAGTGCAGCTGATCATTTCTGAGAGGAAAGTTGTCCTAATGTGTCACATATTTCATGAATTAATCCTTCTGTCCAGCTCTAATTATAGGGAAGTCTTGATATCTCCACTTCCTTAGGAAAGTAAATTTTAATTTCAAAGGCCTATTTTAATAAAATTATGTTCATTGGTGTTCCTTCAGGGAATTTAGAGACACCCTTTCCTTGATTCTTCTTTGCCAAAGAAACCAAGCTACTTTAGATATGCACACTTTCAAATGTTTATTACAAGTTACTAAAGTGTTGTTTTTTATTTTAATGTCAATGTGTAAGGTGACATACAGGCAATTTAAAATAACATACATGATATTGACATATTTATACTTAGAACTTATGCAATATATTTACATACAAATATAGGACAATGTTTTACAAAATCTTTTACTAATTACATGTTTGTAACATTTTCAGAAATAAAATGAAATCTGCTGTAAACCATCTCACTGCAATGTGTATATAAAAAAGGCTTCTAAATATCCATGTTTTCCTTCATTTCTATAACCACTTAAGAACTTAGTTTAAAAAAAATTCATCAGACTCATCAGTATCATCACACATCATTAGTCACTGCTGACTGGAGGAAGCAAGAGAAATTATAGACTCCTTGATTAGGTATAAGGCTGTATTTTAGAAAGCTGTTAAAGAAAGTGACCTACTACTAAGCCTTTTCCTACTCTGTATTCTAGCCAGATAAAATCCCCTCCTCCCACGAGTTGTTTCCAGACCTAGTTATTACAAGAGAATATTGGTTTGGAGTGTTTAAGCAGAGATGCATTTCGAACCCTGGAAACTGCTGACATAAAATCTCTGTAGGTGGCAAGGGCTGCACCAGGTAGGACTTGGCCTGTTCACACTTCCAGTAGTGGGAAGGTCACTGCTTCAGGTTAGGAAGGAGTGTGACAAGGCTACTTTCATCTTACATTGGAGTCTAGCAAGGTTGAATGTTAAACTGAATTGTTCTTTCCAGTTTAAAATCAAAAGGTACAAATGAAACATTATACAAAAATTCTCCAACAAAAATGCCATGATTTTTGCATGCTAACACAGAAAAAATTCAATACTTGATATTTTTCTTCATTCTCAGTCAAAACTGTACATCATTTTTTCTAATAATTCAAATACAAATTTGAATTAGTTTGATAAAAATACATCAAGGTTTCATATTATGTGCAAAATCTGAAATAAGTTGAAATCTAGCTCCACTTATTCCTATAGAAAAATTAGTTGCAGATATTGCAAGTGCTACATTATGTAATGTCTTCTATACTTATGCACCATATAGTATGTTAAAGTCTACAATTTGGAGATTGTACTGAGGTTTAATGGTTCAACGTTGACTAGAAGGAAAAATATCTGTAGTTAAAAAATACAGCTAAACTCTAAACAAGTTATATGGTTGGTGAGTCTATTTGGAATTGTAACTCTAATGGGGTCTGGCTTAAGCACTTATAAGACATTTTTACTTTTGTTCTGTGAGGACCTCGAAGGATTGGGCTTTGGAGTTTAGGTGTTTTATGTATATATGTAACATATCCATATATATCCAGTGCCAAAATATATATGTATATACACTTGTGTGTATATATGTATATGTATGAATGTATACATACTTATGTGGTTTAAACTTGAATTAAAGGCTCCTGGTTTTGTGTTGTATACATATACATATACATACATATGTGTGTGTGCAAATATATTTTTTGGTATTGGAGACTGAACCCAGGGATGCTTTGCTCCTGAGCTACATCCCCAGCCCTTTTGATTTTTGAGACAGGATCTCACTAAGTTGCTTAGGGCCTTGCTAAGTTGCTAAGGCTGGTCTTGAATTTTGAATCCTCCTGTCTCAGTCTCCCAAACTACAGGGATTACAGGCGTGCACCACTATGCCCGGCTATGGTACATAATTTTAAACTTGGACAAAATGGTAATGTTCTAGTGAACCCAAATCTGTGCAGGAATAAGGAAAAAACAAACATTATTTTTACCAAATACTCAAAATGATTTTGTCCAAAACTATTAGATGCTGCATTCACATGATAAAGAAGGAAAACATTTATGTTAAATGCATGCAATGATAAAGAAAATCCAAAATAGTTAATAAGTAGAGAAAAAAATCCCTATATAACTAGTATCTTTACTTACTCTATTTATCTGGTTTACAAAGGCAGTCAACACCAAAAGATATCGCTGACAACTAAAAAGGGCTCAAAATACAGGGAAGAAAAATCTATGTGGTTTAAACTTGAATTAAAGGCTCCTGGTTTTGTGTTGTGTGAGCCAGTGGCCCTTTCCCTCCACCCACAATTGGGTATATAAGGCACTAATGGTGGAGCTCAGTGAGGGTAAGACAAAGACAGGAAGCAGTTTTTAAGATGCCCTAAATGCTTTCTTTCAGTCATGGAAACTGGCAGTTAACCTGTAAGAATATAAAGAATGTGGCTTTTTTCTTCCTTTTCATTTGCTTTTTTATAATCTTCCATTAGATGGGGAGCTGGATGTGTTACATTGCTGTGACTGGAATAAATCTGCAGGTCCAGGTGTCCTGGGAGCAGCTTGGGGCTAAGGGTGGCTCATTGAAGTTCATGCAAATGATTCAGAGTGGTACATGTTACCAGCTTAAGGACTTGGAATCTCAGGATAGAGTGCTTATTTGTGGTGAGCCGCTTCTGCTGTTTCTGCAGACTATGGTCGCCATTAGTAGATGGCGCTGGCTTCCACTGTGGTCTGTGACAAACAACTCCTTATCTAGGAGAGTTGGCACATGATTTTTCACCACCCTGTGAGAAAGCTCCACGCGGCAGCTTTGCATTGGGGCTTGGGATGCTTTATTAAGGCTGGGAGGGGCATCCGAGAGTTAGAAGAAGAAATATCAAGGACCTGAATAAACTGCTGAAAGAAGATTCCTGAGTTGCGTCTTCCTTGCGGGCAAGGGGTTGCGACACTTATTTATTTAGATAATAGCAGGATGATACGTAGAACCATCCTCAGGAAGAAGTTGATGTGGTAATGGGCTGGAGTTGGAGGGGGGCTTAGTACACTGGCTTCAAATACAACAGTATCGTTTCTCTGTTTAGCTATTTAAAATCTAGGCCTTCTATATTATTTGAATTTTGCCTTTAACAGAATAGTCTATGTCATCATAATACAGCTTCTGACTTTTAAATGTGGCTGAAAAATGCAGGGGGCAGGCAGTGCCCCCACAGAACCACACAACTATCTGGCTTGGAGCAGAAGTCTCCACTAATTAAAAATGGGAATGTGTTGAAAATACAGATTTCCAGGCCTCACCCCAGACCTAGTGAATGTGAATCTGTATTTTAACAAATGCTCCAGGAAATTCTAAATGCATAGCTGTTTAGAATTCAGTGAACCCTAGATGTCTTGGGAACTGGTAAAGATAATAGCATGTCTGTGCCTTCAAGAGAGCCAAATATCTTAGAAGGTATTTGCTGTGGTGTTTGAAATAAGCGTCTAGGAAAGCACAGCCAGTTTAGACTTCAGTGTTGGGTTCTCAATAATGAGAAGTTTCATGAGAAAACCAACTGGGTCTTAACCAAAAAAAAAAAAAAAAAAAAATCAGTGGAAATGGACATAACCTCCCCTAAAATGGAGAAATGAAGTAAAACATTCCTGGTAGGAATCATGGAAACAGTTCCTTCTAAGAACACGTTAAGAGCTTTGTTTGATATCAGACGGCTGACAGCAGCAATCTCGTTGTCCTGCTCCTTGTTTGGGTCAGGCCAATGCCAAGGTCCTGGGAGTCCTTAAACAGCAGATAGTTGGTGCTGCTGCTGCTTGGGAGGTGCAAGTTCCAGGAGAGCCTGGACGGTCACTGCCACCTGGCTCAAACCTTTCTCTTCTAAAATGTGGAGAGGCAAACATAATTGCTCCTGAAATGGGACAACGTAACATAAAACAAAAGAGAAAAAGGATGAACATCACTTCTAGAACTAAAAGTAAAAAATAAGTAGTTCTCTACCTCATAATAATCAAGTGAGATATGAAAAGTCTGTACTTGAGAAACTGACCTCTGTTAATATGAGTTAGACAGAGACGGTACCTGACACTGTCACTTTATTAACACAACTAAAAGTACACACAGAACATTTTCAAAACTGGAAAATTGAGAAGCAGCATACATTTATACATACAACAGAGGAAGAACAACAGTATGCTATGGAGTGAAAGCAATATCCTCTATTGCTGATAAGCAAAAGCCCAATAGGCAGGTGAAAAATAATAAAACAAATTCCAAGTTATGAGATGGCTCAAGCCTAAAAAGATATAACATTTTAGGAGAAAGCACTTTCGGGATTACATGCCATGGGAATACAAAATGGCTCATGATGTAACTTAGACTGCAATGAAAAGGGGAAGCCCACTAGCTACATTATAATTCTGATTCTGGGTTCTCAGGTCAGGCAGGGATAAATGGAAGAAATAAGTGTATCTAAACTCTTTTGAGATTTAGATGTATTTGAGAAACTTTCCCCTAATTTTGGATAGGTCATAGAAGGCCCAGTCTGAATTAGAAATCTGAATTATAAAATTAAAAAGGAGTTGTATTTAAAAAGGTAATGTGTATCATATCCTGGAATTTAATGGGTTAACTACACTGGTATTATGAGAGCTTAGTCACTAATAATGACCAATATGTGAAAAGTGTTTACAAGTTTGCTAATTGTTTTTGCCTCATTAACTTGTTTGGTTAATTCTTTCTTGTAAATAGAGAACAGAAAAAGGCAATTCTTAACCATAAAAATTATCATTGGGAGGGCTGGGGTTATGGCTCAGCTGTGTGAGGCACTGGGTTTGATCCTCAGCACCTCATAAAAATAAATAAGCAAAATAAAGGTATTGTGTCCATCTACAATTTTTAAAAAAAGTTTCACTGGTATTTCTCTTTAGGCTAAATATTCAGAAAAAAAAAAAAAAAAAGAAATTGCTCTCCAAAAAAGAATTCTGGTTCCATTAAAAGAGAAGTTATAGTATTTATTAAAGAAAATAACAGGATTTTTCTCTGCTTTCCATTGGCACTCACTATATTACTAGAATATTTTTAAAAACCAGTTGTAATAAAATATATAGTAAGTATTTATTTTTGAGGCAGTTATTGGTATTTGTGCTCCTTAATTACTTTCTTTTTTAAAATATTTTAATAAAAACAAGGTAATTGTAATCTTTTGACTGACTAGAACTTAGCAACTTTGTATAAATACTTTGAAAAGGACTGCAAGTATGGCTTAGCTGTGTTTAAAAATGAACTTGCATGGTGTTTTATCTTCTGGAAAAGCATTTCCTTCAGGACTATTTAGGGGCTCTCTTGTCAGCAGCACTCTGTAATCTGTACGGCCCCATGGTTCACACTTTTAATGGCTCATGCTTTCTAGACACACAACTAACTTCCAGCTGGTTAGAGGGAATGGTGTGTGTTCTCAAGACAATACACAACTACTTTCCTAAACCACACATGATAAACCACACATAAGCATGTGTGTTTTTTTAACAGGTGATTTTTTTAAAGGGACAAAACTCTGAGAATAATCATTGACTAAGACATCTTAAATATAAAACAAGCCCAAACTAACCCCCCAACTCTGGAAGGCACTACTGTAGAAAACTGAGGTTATCACAAGTGTTCAATATTTCGGTATTAACATTACACAGTCTTTAAAAGTGTTAAAATAACTGCCCTATTTAATGTGGAAGAAAACCAAGCAATCAGACCCGCAGGCTGAATTCTTCAGCAGCATGTTACATTCCTTGCAATCTCCCTTCATACTTTTGTTAACAGAGTTCAGAAGATTTCTGAAGGTTCAGAAACACCATTATGAGAATTAGAATCTGAATAAGGTCTGTTAGCTAATATACTAAGTATTCTGAAAGAGAGACAATATTTATTGATGGGGGCACAGAACAAAGACTGCAGCTGAGTACTTTACCTGCCAAATGCTTCAATTTAATCTCCCCAACAGCCTATATACAAATTCACCTATAAGGATGGTTCAAATATATTAGAATTTACATAAATCCCAAATAGCGTTCTAGAAGTGAACTTCAGTTACATTTAACAAGCAAAGTTACTGTGGACAAGTACCTACTCCTGCTTGATGTGTACTGCGTATATACATATTTGGCTCAGAACAGCAATTTAGGGACCTATATGATCTTTAAACTGAACATTATGACCAAATTAAAATTATTAACATTACATGGCCAGCACCTTCCAATGTCCAGAAATTATAGCCGTAGACAGATCTTTAAGGGCAAATTCAGGATTTCGGGGCTGTAATATAAGTGACAAGGTGCCCCCAAATCCAGAAGGGTGCCACTGTTTTCCTCATGCTCAGTAACTCACAGTTTTAATACTCAAGTAGTGTTAAGTATGGAAAAATGGCCAGATGGGCATTTTATTTTGTCATTTGGAAATAAAGTTCTGTGTGTCATATTTCTAACAACAGATTCAGGATTGAATTAGTACAAATGCACTGGCATTTATGATAAGAGAAACAAGGCCACAGGGCAGGAGAATGGATACATGACCAGGAAAGAAAATGCTAGTCCTTTATTCACTGTTAGCCATCATTAATGCTTACTAAGGTGACAGGCTGCTCACCTGGACCTGGAAGGACTTATCTACTAAGGTTAACTCTCTGAAGGCCAGGGCAGGGAGAAATATGTAAATAATGTGTCTTCGTGAACAACAAACCTCCTTTGCCAAGTACAGGAATGAAGTGGAGAATCACTGGAACACAATCTTTCAGCTACAGGGGGAGGACCCAGTAATAAAGCATACAGAGAGTTAACATTAAAGTACAATAAAATGCCACAAAGCCCAGAAGTTGGATAGACAGACAGACAAAACTGGATTCTTCTGAATGTGCCCCAAGAGAAAGTAGTGTTTCAACAGTTCTTTTAACGCTGAGATTTAGCTGAAGGATGTCGGAAGGGGAACAAAGAATGTCCTGTCCAAATTGTGAGCAAGAAAGGAAAACAGAAAAACAAAGTCAGTGGATCAGAAATGCAGATTTGAGTATAGAATTCAGTATGATCATCTCAATCACATTCAAAGGTACACATCCTGTAACGTTTTTACTTATGATGAATAAAATGATAAAAAGCAAAAACTACAATCTTCTTTGTATAGAGACTGATTTACTACTAGATAGTATAATAAAATTTGCTTATCTGCTTATTGGTGACTAGTATGAACATTGAGGATACACTGAACGGAACTGGATGCTGGCTTAGAGTCGTGTGAAGCCTGAGAGTGGGAGGGCCTTCTTCCCTCCCCACTAGTGAAGAAGGAAACGGCAGAAAGCACAGACAAAAATTGGGGTGGGCTGAGCAGGAAGAACTTTTCATGGAAGTCAGGTAAATCAAGAGGGTTCAAAGAATGAGGAGAGCTAATAATTAGGGGACATTTACCACCTAGCAGCCAAATGTGATGAATGACTTGAAGTTTTTCTAAATATCAGTCAAGTCCAAGCCTAATTCACTAATGTACAAAATGACTACAGAACTGCATGGGGCCTTGGAGATCTCTGCCATTTCAGAGATTATTAAATAAATAAAAACGTTAATGGACTTGACAAAAAGAAAAATATTTATTAATACATAACATACAATAACTCTTGGATATACGATACTGGACTCAAATATACGTTCTTATCATCAACTAAAGTTTTTCTGAATAACATTTAATAAAAACATAGTAATAAAATGAATAACCATATACTCAACCTCACCAGAGGATTTAAAGTCACCTATTCTTTCATAGTTCATTCATAATTTAACTTGTATAATGCTTTAAGAAAAATTGTTTTTCTCTATACATACTACCTGGGCATAGAATCTGTCAGATGTTAATAATATTAAGTTTTCTGTTTAAAATTTTCAAAAGCAGTCATCATGATTAAATACCCAATTTTCTTTTCAAGTCCAACAGAGCAAGTGAGGATGCATAAGTGAAGGCCAGAATGCCTAGAAATATAGGAGGACAAAGGAAGAAGAGGAGATAAAGGGTGGCAGAGGGATCTGAGAATGCCCATTGGTGTTTAAACCAGTTTGTGTATTTATTCATTTTCCCTTAGTTTGTCTAGACAAATGACTAATTTTTTAGCAAAAAATTTTTAGTGTAGCAGGAAGCATCTAAAATTGGTGGTGGTGGTGGTAGTGGTGACAGGGACTTGGGTGGAAGGCAAAAGGGGAGAAGGAAGTGGTGGTCTATGTGGAATGCCCATTTCCTCTTTCTGATAGGGGAGGAAGGATGTGTTAAGAACCCCAGTCTGACCACTTTGGAAAAAATCCAGTCTTTTAAAATTATATTTTTTCTATCTGTACCTGTCTTGATATGGCATAGCTCTGGTACAAACAGAGGTTGCCAGCTCATAATAAATACTATTAACCAATGCTTGGAAAATGCTGACTAAAATGCATGTTTATTTGTTTGTTGAGTACTGGGGATTGAATCCAGGGGTGTTTACCACTGAGCTACATTCCAAGTCCTTTTTATTTTTTATTTCAAGACAGGGTTTTGCTAAGTTGTTTAGGGTCTTGCTAAATTGCTGAGGCTGGCTTCAAACTTGTGATCCTCTTGCCTCAGCCTCCCAAGTCACTCAGATTACATTAGTGGGTGCTCCCATGCCTGGCTTAAATGCATGATTTGAGGCACACTGTTTTTATACTTTGTTGCGTGATGGAACATTCTGAAAGAATTCCAGGTTAGGGATTTTAAATGTGAGAGAGAAGATGGGTCTATAAAGCCCACTGGGAAGGTATAACATTTATAAAAGTTGGTGAACAGTACTTTTAATATAAGCTAAGTCAGCATGCCTTATTTTTTTTCTGTGGCTCCCGTTCTCTATACCAACCTATATCAGTCAAGTCCAAGTCTAATTCACTAATGTACAAAATGAATACAGAGCTGCATGGCACCTTGGAGATCATCCAAACCTGCCTTTTCAGAGATTATTAAATAAATAAAAACATTAATGGACTTGATAAAAAGAAAAATATTTATTAACACATAACATATAATAACTATTAGATATACGATCCTGGCCTCAAATACAAGTTCTTTGAATCTCTTATTCAAAGACACTGTGGTATGGAACTGGAGCAGGTAGTAGGCATGTTTGTATCAGTAGGAATATCTTTGGTACAAAGAAAGGAAGAATTGAATGTTAACATGCAGTATGAATATCAGAAACTCTTAATATGGAGAAAAAACATGCCATTTTTTTAGATACCATATGAATGCTCTTTTAATATATTTAAAAATGGCTTGATAAGCATTTATAAAACAATAATATTAAAATAGAAATTTTGATTAAATTTATTATTATGGAAGCTTCAGTTCTACCTCATGTTAAAAAGAAGGAGGGAAAAAAAAAAGCCAGCAAAAGAAATAAGTGCAAAATAAAAGAAAACAATCATGTGAATTCATGCTGGCTAATATAGATGTACTAGGGAGCTGGACTCTTTTCTACTTTGTAACACAAGAAAGAGCTGAAAGAGAAGGTTGTTCACTGGATAAGTGATGCTGTGGCCTTCTCAGTTCCTGGTTAGAAAGACGTATGGTAAACTGGGTGAAGAAAGTCACTGTGAAAACTGCTAGAACAGAGCTTGACTCTGAGAGCGATCATGGCATTCTTGATGAGCCCAGTTTCTGACAGCTAATCAAAGAAGGTGATAGAAAAGAGGCAGTTGGACAATATATAACAACTGTAGGGGCCGAGAGTGTGACTCAGTGGTAGAGTATGTGTTTAGCATAAATGCAGCCCTAGGTTCAATCCCCAGTGTTCTCCTCTCCCCAATGGATCAAATGGCACCAAGTTGTTTATTCCTTTTTATGTCTATGTATCACATTATTAAATATAATATTCCTTAAGAATGTCATCCTTAGTTACTTTTTAAAAAGATAACTGAATAAACAGTGTATCCAGGTGTTTTCCTTAATTACATCCATAAATCAAGTTTAATTATTTGAACTACTGAAGGGTAAGAATATTAAAATAACTGAGGACCTTGGAGGCAATAAATCCTAGCAGCAGAACAGATGCTTGGAAATGGCAAGTTAAACTCTAAGCTATTAGAGCTTAGTAGAAAAACTTGTAAAATCTGAATGAAGTCTGTAATTTAGTTAACAGTATTACTGTTACAATGTTACTTAGTTTGGACAACTGTACCATACCTATGTTAGATGTTAATATTGGTGAAGTATACATAGACACTCTCTGTCCTATTTTTCTAAGATTTCTGCAAGTCTAAAATTACTTCTAAATTAAAAATTTTTAGTATTAAAGAAGGTGTTAAAAACTGAAGCCAACTGAAGCATTCTCACTCTGAGATTTTGAAAGACAAATTCTGTTGTTTGTATAGTTTTATACAAGCCAAACAGCTAGTTGGGATGTTTAGGAAAACAGAAAGTTATGTTTCATTAATTACTTATTATAATACAATTATTTAAATTTATGTATTTATGATTTCTTTGTGAGGTCCTGAGAAATAAGGAAAACAATAAAAATATTGATCAAAAGACTATCAATTGACTCTTATAACACAATATCATGTTAGTAATTACCAACTTAGTTCAGAGTCCTATAAGTCTAGTGCATTTCTGATAAGATTTTAGGACTATAATGCCTAACTCTTTTAAAAAGGCAACACATACAAAAAAGATAATTTATTACCTGAGGTACACCAATTTTTCTGCAAGCTTCTAGGAAATTCTCCACATTTCGCCTGCATTTTGCCATTGTTAATTTAGGCTATAAAAATAAAAGGAGGAAAATTATAATGTTATCAGGAAAGGTCTAAAAATTTACCAACTTTAAAAATACTCTTGCCAATTGATTCATATATTCACAACACTATAGACTGAGGGGGTCAGTAAACATTTTCTTTAAAAGAGGATCAGATCATAAATATTAGTCTTGAGAGTCGTAAGAACGGTTACAAATAATCAATTCTGCTACAGGCTTGAAAGTAACCACAGGCAACATGTAAACAAGTAATTGTGGCTGTGTTCCAATAAAACTTTGTTTATAGAAATAGGTGCTGTCCTGTGGGTAGCTGTTTGACACTTTTTGGGGGGGGGGGTATACCAGAGACTGAACTCAGGGTCATTTGACTATTGAGCCACATCCCCAGCCCTACTTTGTATTTTATTTAGAGACAGGGTCTTGCTGAGTTGGTTAGCGCCTCGCTGGCTTTGAACCCATGATCCTCCTGTCTCAACCTCCTGAGCTGCTGGGATTACAGGCATGGGCCACGAAACCTGGCTGTTTGCCACTTTTTAAAATAAACATTTTGCTTTAGTTTTGAAAGGTAAGTACTAAACAGAAAAATGTTTAGATGGATAGTTTTAAATTTTATTCTATTTTCAGACAATGTACACTAAATAAATTTAAAAGAACAGCAAAATTAATTACCCATTGCTCATCACTCAAATATATCCACAATTAACAACTGGTTCATTTTTCTTTTACTATATGTTAAATATAACAAAAAAGAAAAAAAAACTCAGAGCTTTACTCATAAATATACTATAGATGCATCATGTTCTCACTGACAACATCTGAATTTTAAAAAACATTTTAATTTTAGAGGTTAGGGCTGTAGCTCAGTGGCAGAGCGCTTGTCTAACATGTGAGGCACTGGGGTTGATCCTTAGCACTGCATTAAAAAAAAAAAAAGCATGCTGAACATCTACAACTATAAAAAAAATTTGATTTTAAAAGGATGGGTCAGCGGACACAGTGGCACACATTTGTAATCCTAGAGGTCTTGGAAGGTTGAGGCAGGAGGACTGGGAGTTCAAAGCCAGCTTCAGCAACTTAGCAAGGCCCTAAGCAAATCAGCAAGACCCTGTCTCTAAATAAAATATAAAAAAGGACTGGAGATGTGGCTTAGTGGTTGAGAGCCCCTGGGCTCAAACCCTGGTACAAACAACAACAACAACAAAAAGACTGGGTCAATTCGGAACCCATTTTCCAAAGTATGAAAGGTTCCTATAGGAAATTTCCCCAGTTACAACTAGTAAGCTTGTTTTTCTGTAAAGATCTCTTATGGCTAGAAATAAAGAGTTATATTAAGTGATTTAAAGTTTCAATCAAGCTTTTCACCTGTGGGTTATCATGGAAAATAATATTAGAAAACAAATATGAATACCATTTTTCAAAATGATTAACATATTCAATTGTACAAATTCATTGGTTGGTTTACAGTATGTTAAAGCATCAGTCAGGGAAGCCAAACGTTTGCATGGAATCATACCTTTGGGTTTTTATTACTACAGTTAACAGATGGAAGTCTATATCATCTTTAGGGGGAAAAAAAGGTTTCATCTGTAAATATATGGGTTTTCTTCAAAGAATGCCACATCCCCAGCTCTTTTTATATTTTATTGCTTAGGGCCTCACTAAATTGGTGAGGCTGGCTTTAAACCTGTGATCCTCCTGCCTCAGCTTCCTGAGCTGCTGGGATGATAGGTGTGAGCCATCATACCTGGCTGATTCCGATTTTTTTCTCAGGTTGTCTTCCTATTTTATGGTTCATTCAGTGAGCTCTTCCATCATGGTACTGGAGATTGAACTCAGGGGCACCTGACCACTAAGCCACATCCTCAGCCCTATTTTGTTATTTTATTTAGAGACAGGGTCTTGATAAGTTGCTTAGCGCCTCACTTTTGCTGAGGCTGGCTTTGAACTTGCGATCCTACTGCCTCTTGAGCTGCTAGGATTACAAGCACGTGCCCAGGCCCAGCTGTAATGGTTTTTGATATGGTTTAACAGCATACCTCTAAGAATGTGAATCATACTCCTTAACACCTACACCTACCGAACAACTAAACAGCATTTTATCAAACATCTTGAACTTCCCAAGATAACAAGAAAGATGAATTAGAACTTAAATGGTTGCAAACACTTAAAAGACACATGACTTTCTGATTTATTTTCCTCTCTCCAAATCAGAACGACAGCACACAATCTTTATCTGCCCATAAATAAGTTCATCATCTATCTGAATTCTTTTACAATGCTTGATATAAAACCTCCCTTTATAATGAGAAATTCATTTTTTGAATTTGGGGAAAGAAACTGATTTGTGTACTATATCAAGAAACTCTTTTTCAAGTTGTACATACACTGAAATTAGCTAGCTCTCAAAGAATTATAAGAAATTAACATGTATGAATGTAGCAATAAAAAACTGCTGCAGTTTTAATTCGTATTTGGTTTTTAATTTTATATTCTCATCACAAAAATTATTCTAAGAAAGTATACTACAAATCTTGCTGGTGGTTTTAAGAACAAAATAAGGGAAGAAACTGTCTGCTATGAGGAAGGAAAATGTATATGAAGGAAAAATAAGTGTAAATATTTATGCTGAAAACTGTTTCTATAATTGGAATTTCATAAAAGCAATATTGATTTATTCTTAGTAATCATGATCACAGTTATCACAGTTTGAAAGAGGGTTGTTTGCTTGTTTTTGTTTTTAATTAAAATAGTGGACAATTCTCATCTGGCTAAATCCAACTCCATTCCTTCACCCCCAGATTTTTCCATTTGGGAAATTTTATGTGTCTTCTTAACTATATATATCCTTTATTATCTAGAAAGATTCCCTACTAGCTGAGCATAGTTGTAGGCACCTGCAGACCCAGCTACTTGGGAAGCTGAGTCAGGAGGATCCCTTGAGCTCAGGAGTTCAAGGCCAGCCTGGCAAAACAACATCCTGCCTCAAAAATAAATAAGTAAAAATTCCCAATAAACAATTTACTTGCCAAAAAAAGCTATTTGATAAAAGACCTCTTTTTTTTTTTTAATCTTAAAAAAGAGAAATTAAAGTCCTTGAGAGAATGAACCACTTATAACTGTGTCTGTACCTTTTGTGCCTGGCAGGATGCCTGGCTCTGACATGCGCTCAATAAATGAGTACGTTTTGTTGTTGATTCCACTGGCCATTTCTAAGTGTTCTCATCTCATCTTAGACCCTTATTTCTTTGTCTAAGGAGAAGGTCCATGTATTTTATTTCTTGGAGAAGTTAAATATTTATAAAATACTTTTATTTTCTCATTATATATATATTACATTCTTGAAAACACTGTGTTCTGGCAGTCAAAGTAAAGAGGCTCAGTCACTCTTTCAAATTCTACTTACTACATTAACTCCTTGATAGTATTTCCCCTGAAAATGAAGAGGGAAACCTTTGTCCTTTTTATTTTTAATTAAAGAATAAAATTTTTTTCTTAATGCAGTTGACAGAAACTGGGAAGAACAGAAAGTATGAACAAACACTTCTTCCCTTACTGGCATTGCCATTGTTTTCTTAGTCATTACCTATAGGACCAATGGGGAGGTTTTTAATTCATTGGGAGTATAGTTTAGTTTGGTAGTACTGCTTTGCTTTATCTATAGAGAACTGAACACCTGCTCTCAGAGTCATTAAACAAAAAGAAGCTACCTATTTTCCTTAGAAGAAATGTATAACTCTATTTTTGGATGTGCTGGACAAAAAAGGGCCATATCAGACCTGGGACTTTGTTAAAGAAGTTTTAGGAACTGGGTCTGTAGCTAAGTGGCAGAGCACTTGCCTAGCATGTGTGAGGCACTGGGTTTGATCCTAAGTACCACATAAAAATAAATAAATAAAAATAAAGGTATTATGTCTATTTATAACTTAAAAAAAGGTTGTTTTTTTGTTTTTTTTTTGTAATTAAAAGAATACAAAGTCCTAGAGAAGGATTAAGGATTTGCATCTGGAAAAGTAGTAAAATGAATGTCTAGATGTAGAAATCTATAGTTCTGATACAACTGCAATCTGAACAAAGAATTTACAAGGAACTGCCTGCTAAATAACAAACCAACCAACTAGAAAATGACAAGAGGGCAAACCTTTGAAAAGGTAAACACTGCTAAGCTACTAAAAATGCAGGTATATTCATTAAAAGTCATCAAAATAGGGTGAAAATACAATCAAATAAATGCAATGTGAACCTTGATTATATCCTGTGTGTGTGTCTCTCTCTTGCTTTAATGGAGGGGGGAATGAGGTAGTAGCTATGAAAGATAGCCTTAGAGCAAATGTAGAAATTTCAATTTACCTATGGTGGATGCTGACACCTGGTGTTCCCCTACTAGTCTGTACATCCATCCTTACCCCCAACCTTTCCCATCTTGTTGGCTGCTAATGGCTCATAGCTACCTCCTTCTCAGCTTCAACATGATCCCATGGGAAGCTCAGAAGTGAATTGTTCTCTCATCTTGAAATAGGAGGACTCAGTCCTATGTCAGTCATTGGCTATCAGCTATGGGAAAAGGAAAGGTGGACCAGGACCATTCTCTGGAATATTTGAAAGGTAAAAAGTTATGAGACCTGCATCTCTTAATTGGTGCAGTTTAAAGACACACACAGATAAAGCAAATACAGCAAAACTGAATAAATGTCAGATCTACATGAAGATTTTAAGTGTTCACTATATTATACTTTCAACTTTTCTGAAGGTTTAAACATTTTTTTTAAACATTTACTTTTAAGTTGTAGTTGAGACACAATACCTTTATTTTGTTCATATATTTTTATGTGGTGCTGAGGATTGAACCCAGGGTCTGTCTCTCTATCATTATCTATAGTTATCCTACTGTTGAAACAGCACAGCAGAACTTCTGGGCTAAAATTTTGTAATAAAAAGTTGAAGGAAAAAAAGGAGGGGTATATCAACCCAAAGCCTGCTGTTTCTTTTGTTGGTTGTCATTTTGACAC